AATAACTTACCAGCTCATGAACGCTCTGTTGAAGAGAAGAGACGTCCTCATTCCACTCTGCTGTATACCTCTAGACTACATTACAGCTGGTCCGAGAAACCAAGAGGCATGTGATGAGAGCACTGTACAGGTACGTAGATAATAACGTTCGGGGAAGAATGCATGGGCGTCATGCCGAATATGTAGCAACCAATATATGATGTGCTTCATCCGGATGGGTGATGGAACTGCACGAAGAAGCGTCGCGTTTTCTCAAGTATTTCCGCTCATTTCCGAAACCTGTCTTCGTCTTGCGACCAAGGATGCCCATGTGGCTGTGATTTTCGCACGCGTAGTATGCAGGATTACTACTTTAGTGGGTTATTCGATGCTGCCCACAGTCATAAACCTGCCATAGAGACATTTCAATAAGAAGCAGCCTTTCCAGTACTCCATCATCCAATATGTACTGAATATTCGTGAACATTCATTGCCGTGCATTCAAGTACAATATTGTGCTTTCCAAAAATGGCGTGCTTGAAAACTTCCTCCTCATGATGTTATTATGTCTTTAAGATGTTGTGAACGCTGGTAAAGGGAGACTGCGCCTATGCTCCATGGAAATGTCTCATGACTTGAAATGCAATCTTTTTAGAATTACACATAATACTAGCTAGAAAAAATTCGGGCAATCCAGGATGGGGAATTAAGGCGTAAAGAAAGTCATTCTTAAAATGATATTAATACCATTTGATTGAATTGGCAAAGAAATGCAAAATGCGGTTTGGAAACTGCAGAAAATCAGTAAGTTCCAGAAACTTCCACATTTCGTGTGGTTCAGACTTTAGTTGCATCAGAAACGTGAATTTTTCATTAAGCAGTTCTTGCAGATGAGTTTATCCGCTTGCAGAAACAGTTGCAATAGCAGAAAGAGAGTTTATGCACTAATGTGCAAAAGTCATGGCTATCAGTATTTTAAGTATGGTGGATGGGATGAATATCAAAAACTAATTTTATTCATAGATAAGGCATGGTACAATGTATAAAAGTATCACAATTAATAGTCAATTAATAATTAATCCTCTTTTCCCTCGATTCAATCAAAGCCCAACTTCGCGCTTTCATCGACTCGACTTTCGTTGACTCGACACCGATTTACAGTGACCAAGTCGCTTCTACCCTCGTGTGGAAATTTGTCCAGTCCGTCGAGATTTCATGGTTTACTGCTTCTCGACACGTTATTTGAGCATCAAGCAGAGGCTCTCGATCGGATCGACGTCGGGACCATTCAACGGCCAGTCGATCGTTTCGGGTACTTCTTCCAGCAGGAACTGCTTCGTTACTGGACTTCCGTGTTCGAATCCCGAAGACCAGACTCTGGTCACGGAGATTCGCTCGACCTCGTCTCTTGGATTATTTGATCTTGACAATATTGTACTTGACAGTCCGAACGGGGATCTTCGTCAGACGAGCAATTGTGGCAGGAGGTCGATGGTCAGGTTCCAGAAATGTTAAATATTGGGTCGCTTCCCGAGGCTATCCCAGGGGGATAGCCCCGAGAAGCGGGACACTAGCCTATCTCATCGTCGTGGGGGGGGGGGGGGGGGGGGGGGGGGGGGGGGGGGGGNGCGGGACACTAGCCTATCTCATCGTCGTGGGGGGGGGGGGGGGGGGGGGTTAGGTAGGAGGGAGGGTAATGTGGGTAAGTGGGTGAGAGGGTTCAGCGTTAGGACGCATTTTTTGGCCTTGTGCCTGTTGCGTCTTATATCTTATTGTATCCATGTTTTATCCCAGCCGCTTGACTAAAAAATGGAATGAACTCGATGCAGGATACTTCAAATCACATCCTTCCTGCATGCAACGATTCATAAGAATGGGACGAAACAGAGAGCAAACCAATCAGTCAGTTGATCTGTGAATAAGCTAGTAATTATTTGTTCAATGAGCTTTGTTTACATGGCATACCCTTTCTACGGAGGTAGAGTGAGGTGAGGTAGTGTATACATGTAAAATTGAACAGGAATTGTTAGTTGATGCAGGTGTTTATAAAAGCATCCGGATTGCTGTAGGAGGGCAGAGGATTCAGAAGATTGAGTTGCTACGCAGCCAACCACCAGGTAGTGTTGTCAGGCCGGGGGTCTCTAAGTGGAGTGAAGAGTTCTTAATATACGTGGTCATTGTATAACGTTTTTTTTCTAGGTTTTCTTATTGTATGGTGCATTTAGTCAGATTGTTTTGTGTTTGAGCAAACACTTTTGACTTCTATTTTGCTTCTTTTTATTATTTTTTAGTTTTTAAATTATTTTTTCATTGCCTGTAATTTTCAGCTAGAATAAAGGTATCGATGAGGTAATGGTCTATTCATGCACTTATTCATACTTGCTTGCACACGTAAGAATACTTTGGCTAAGATGTGAGGGAATAACGTAACTGAAGGAGTGGGTCTTGAGGCTGGTTTTCTCGTGAGCAGACAAATTGTCGCCGGACAAAATGTCGCGGACAAAATGTCGCCAAGAAAAAATGTCACCGCTGAGAAAATGGTGGTTCTGGTGTTATATGGTTGGAGGTTGAACTGGGATAGGTATAGGGAGAAAGTTTGCTTCAGGAAAAAGCCGAGTAACAAGTACAAGCTAATATTCTTTCAAAATAAGAAATCACATGAAGATATTCACAAAGTCCAAAAAAGGGGGAATCACATGACAGATAAAGTTCAGTCACAGGACATTAATGTTGACGACGCGTCCAACGTCAAACAAAAATTGTACAATATCCCGATTTGCAAAGTCAGCGACCATTGTACGGAGAGCCTCATTAATTTGTTGATACTTCTTCCGTTTCTTCGGAGGTGGTAGTCCCATTTCATACTGCCGATTTTTTACTGCGTGCAAATGTTGCTCTTTCTGCAACTTCTGAGCAAGGCGCGCAGTTGACGGATGGGCGATCCCAACAGAGTGATTGAATGCTTGGTGCCACCCCTCCAATGTGTTGTTGCTTCTTGGTAGGTCATCGAAAACACGGTGGTATTGGTTCCATAATGGAATGGGAAATCGGGGTGCGGCTCTTCGTCCTCTTCTAGGTCTTCCGATGTAATTGTCTTCGAAATAATCCAGAAGAGGATCCATTTCCCTGAAATCATTGCTGCCTATTAATTCTTCGTAGGCCGCAGCTACTTGGTCAGGTGGAACAAATGCCAACGCCGTCAAACACTTCACTCTTGAAGCGAAGTCGGCATCCGCGATGTATCTTCTTTGCAAACCATCCGCTTGAAGCCGTCTCCAGATGTTCTGC